AAGGAAGACTGGGCAATCTATTTCTTTAAAGATTTACTGCCTTGGAAATCCAAAGGAAGTCTCTGTGAGTCAGAATCAACTCAATGGCAGTGAATTTGGTTTGGTTTTAGTCTCAAATCTAATTTTTCTATTTCTAGCATAATTTTTTCTCATAAATTGAAAAGCAGAGAAAATTAAATGGCTCTTGGGTTTAAACTTTTATATTAATGCAGTTGTTTAGAGCTCAGCAGAATTGAGTTAGAGTTTTGGCCTCACTATCAATGTGCTCTGAAATCTCAGGCAAATAGTTCATCTTTCTACACTTTGATTTTCACGTCTGTAAATTGGATGCATTAAGAGGGTACACCAGTCTCCAGAATTAAGTGCAACAATATGTGACAAGAACCAACTACACTGCCTGGCATAAATAGTGTTCAATAAAAGAAGGCCCATGAATGTTGTTTATCTAGTTAATGAAATATGCTTGACAGAACAGGTTCTGTATAATTTCCTTAGTTTTGTTTAAGTTATCTTTTTTTGCTGGTTTTGTACAATGATATGAAAGCATCAAAATTTGAATCCATTAAAAATTGTCCAGTAAAAATCAATTGATATTAATTCAAGAACCAAAGTAGATGTTCACTCTATAATCTTTCAACATGTTGAAAAAACATGAAGTTACTGAGTTACCAAAGTCTAGTAGCAGAAGCATCACTGTACTGAGAGTTCCCTCAAAGTTTAGACCATCTACTACAATAGTTCTTTTCTGACAGAAAACATTTGGAAGATCATGATAACTCCAAAGCAACCATGGATGTTGTAGCCATGATTTTATTTTGATTCTTCATTCATAACTCATCCAGAGGTGAGAAAAGGTAATAGACAGGCATTCTAGGCATCAATAAATGGAGGAAGTTGTGTTTAGGGATAGTTCCTCTGCCTCAGGATTACTGGGACTGCTCTGAAGTTGAGCACAGGCAAGGTTGATATAGAAGAAGACAGAAAATGGATAGGCAGGCATTCACAACAGGGTGCTGAGTGTCCAGTCATTCTCTGCTCTACTGGGCTTCTCAAGGGAAAGACCATAATAAATGAGGATGTTTCATCAAAGTCCCAGGACACAATAATAAACTGTATGTTCATTGGCAGGTGGACCAAAAGGTGTCGGGCTATGTTTGCAATTCATTCAAAGGAAGATGGTAGAACAGAAAAGTGCTTTTTCTACCTAGCTTTCTGATGTGACACTTCAAATAAAGGGACTTGGAAGAAAACACAGATATTAATGACAGATTCAACACAAGGATTGTGGTAAGTGAGGAGGTAAAGTTACTCTCAGATCACATGTGTATTATATAGAATTGAAGCATTATGATTCCCTGAAAATACCTGATCTTAAGAATCAACGGTTAAAAAAAAATCATGCTTTTATGTTCCAGTGAGCAGGTAACTTTGGAAAACATTGGTGTGTAGACTGAGTGCAGACTCTAGAATCAGACTACTGGGGTCACTTTATGGTTTCTCTACCTTTGGAGAATGATTCAATTCTTCTAAGTTTCAGTGCTCCATTCAGTAAAATGAGGATGAAATTACCTCAGAAATTTGAGAGGATTAAATTATGTAACAATGCCTGTAAAGTATTAGCATTTGGTGAGTGATCAACAGCTATTATATAATTATTATTGTTGTTGTTGTTGTTTTGTTAAGGCCATGCCCTGGGTAAGCAGTGCCAAATGCATTTGAATGAATACCAGAATGCAAAGTGGTAAATCTAATTGATATAATTAAGATGGTTTAATTGCTGAGCCAATATTTTTCAATTCTTGAATAAATATCCCCAAAATGCCTTTGTCTTGCTATATATTGATTATTCAAATGTTTATACTGAACAAAGACAAGAAGTAATTCCAAATTTTTGGTTCGTCTTGAGGTAAATTAAATAGAAATAGGCCCATCTGCAGAAACATTTTCCTGTAACCATATATCATGTTTCTAAGGGCGTTAGTGAGTCATCCTTCCTGCTAAGTGAATACCAATTGCTTGGTTAAAAGCCACTTCAAGACAAAGTCAGGTTTCTTGTTTAACTCTGACCTACCGTACCAAGCCTATACAGGAGAGGCTAGAATCGTAAAGGATAGGTAAAGTTGTGTGGAAGAGTTAATTTTGGGATAAGAAGAAAAGATGATACAGTGAGTATGAAAATGATGAAAGAAAGAAAGCATAAAGTTAAGTGGATAATAAAAAAGAATTGACAGAAAATAGGGAGAAAATGTGAGATAAGTGCAAAGAAAAAGGTACGAGGCAGGATCAGTCTTATTGACAGGTAGAGTGGGTAGTTGCTACCCAAGAAATCCGCTGCCATCAAGTCAATTCCGACTCATTGAGACCCTGTAGGACAGATTAGAATTGCCCCATAGGGTTTCCAAGGCTGTCGTTCTTCACAGAAGTAGACTGCCTTGTATAAGTTTCCCTTAGACTAATTGTTTCCATCCATCTTTGATTTTCTTCAATCTTTTTTGCTCTAGATGTAGAGGGACAAAGTTTCGTCTTAGATGGCCACTTGCAAGTTTTTAAGACCCCAGTCACTACTCATCAAATTAAAATGTGAAACAATGTTTTTGAGCAATATGTTATGTCAATTGAGCTTGATGTCCCCTGTTACCATGGTTCCGAGCCCACAGGCCCAGAGATTTCCTCCTTCAAGGAATTTGGTTGTGGCTAGCTTTTGAAGAAATATAATAATTTATATCGTTTACTGACCCACACTTAATCATCTTGCCTGCCTACCTATGTACCCACTCATAGAATAATTTATATTTGCTCTTTTGAAGCATATGAAAATTTCAATTTTAGAAGGTCCCAGTCTTCTAATTTATCTTCTGCTGTTTATACATTTTGGGTTATGTTTAGTAGTCCATTTATGCCATAAATTAGGGCCTCTATATTTGCCCCTGTTTTTCATTTGGTGAACTTTATAGTTTTAGGTTTTACATTTAAGTCTTTGATCCATGTTGAGTTAGTTTTTGTGTATGAGGTATAGGTCTTGTTTCATTTTTCAGCAAATGGGTATTCAATTTTACTAGCACCATTTGTTAAAGAGACTATCTCTTCTCCCTGGCAGATATTTTTGTAAGTGCTGCCATGCCAGCTTTTCTTCTTACATGTTGCTGTGAAAAAGAAAGGAAAACACAGCACAGTGTGTTTACAAAAATACTTGCCTGGAGGAGGGGCAGGTTGAAAAACAAACATAGAAGGTAGTTACTAATTGTATAAAAATATGATTTGTATGCCTTTCAAAATCCATTAAGTAGATCTGTAAACGTGCAAAAAATGAAATTCATAATATAACAATTGATCATCTATCTCTTGAAGATAAAGGCTAGGCAGTCTTGAGTGGAGACTTAAAATATTTTTTAAAATAAAAGATGAAACCCCTATTCTGAAACTATTAACAGTCTACATGGGTGATGAATGAGAGATTTGTTCACAAATAACTGTGGTATAAGGCTGATTGCTACAAACACCTTGATAGATTTCGAAAGTGGGAGGAAAGAAGGACAAATGTGAATTCCAACTCATAAAACGATTAAAGTGGAAGCATTTGAACTGAACCATTGAAAGTGGGTAATAGTGTTTCAGCATTTAAAGTAAAACTAATTAAAACTAAGCAAAAACATGCACTTTGGAGAAAAAAAAAAAAAAGATGCCTCAAACCTATTACCTTAATGACAGATTTAAAGTTTCATGGAGGTAAAGGCAACTTGTGTGAAACTGATAGCAATAGCACTTGTAAGCACCCTTCCCCACTCCTAAATGTCATTGTCATGGTTGTGTTCTCTAATTGTGAGCAGAGGAAGAACTCATGGGCAAATAGCCTGGCCTTTGTGGGAGGGAAAAAGTGAATGCAAACTACACTCAGTTCTGATAATGTATTTCTCTCCTCAGACCTCTACATCTCTTATTTAAGAAAACCTTCCTCAATTTCCATGTCACAAGCCTGAAGGAAAATGTTGTTTTTAAAATATAAAATGGCCATAACACTTCTACTGCTGTATCTACAAGGGACCTCAAGGTAATAACTAAATTAGTTCTCAGAAATATTGTTGTTGTTGTTGTGATGTTGTTATGTGACATCGAGTCGGACCAGACTCACAGAGACCCCTCCTTGGGTTTCTGAGGCAGTATCACTACGGAAGTAGATTGCCCAACCTTCCTTTGAAGGAGTGGCTGGTGGGTTTGAACCACCAGCCTTCTGGTTAGCAGTCAAATGCCTCAGGCACTACACCACCAGAGTTCCCCAGAATTATGTAGGATAATTTTTAATCAAATTGACTGGCTGTTTGCGAATAGAGCATTAGATTATACCTGTGTTCCTGTTTTGTTATTATCAATGATTTCATTTTGCAAGGGTAGGTAAATAAGTTAACTAAGTAATTAATAATGGGAAAATAGAAGGGCAGTATATGCACAGGGAGACAGCTTGAGGGGCAGGGAAGGACACATGGAAGAGGCAACTATGGGGAGGAGAGCTGTTACATTGTGGGAAATTGCAGTTAATGTCATGAGACAAAATGTGTATGAACTGCTGTATGGAAAATGAATTTGCTCTGTAAACTTTCACCCAAATCACAATAAAAATTGAAGAAAAAAAAAAGGTGAACTAAGTAATCCATGAGAGTTAATTAATAAAAATCTTGTATGTTGATAAATTATTCACAACACTTGTTGTTGTTGTTGTTGTTATGTGCCGTCGAGTCGGCCCCGACTCATAGCGACCCCTCCTTGGGTTTCCGAGGCAGTATCACTACGGAAGTAGGATTGCCCAACCTTCCTTCCGAGGAGTGGCTGGTGGGTTTGAACCGCCAGCCTTCATTCACAACACTTAGGAGACCACAAGAAGGAAGATGTTAACATAAATGTATTCACAGGAGACCTGGGAGTAAAGGAAGTATACCAGTGTACAATAACATGCTATCTGAAAGAACAATATTTTGCCCTTGTTTTCCAGGTAATGATGTTCAGTCATGGAGACAGACAATGAGACTATCACCACAGATTTTATTCTCCTGGGGCTCTGGCCTGAGTTGAGCCACCTTGTGATCCTCATGTGCATCATTCTTCTGGTCTACTTTGTAGCTGTGATGGGCAATGCTGTTCTCATTCTCCTCATATGGTTGGATTCTCGACTCCATTCCCCCATGTACTTTCTGCTCAGTCAACTGTCACTCATTGATTTGACTTTGATTTCAACTTCTGTCCCTAAAATGGTCACAAACTTCTTCTCAGGGAAAAGAACCATATCACAGATTGGCTGTGGAACCCAGATCTTCTTCAGCTTAACCTTGGGGATTGCTGAGTGCCTCTTGCTTACCCTCATGTCCTATGACCGCTATATTGCCATCTGTAACCCTCTGCGGTACTCAGTCATCATGAGTCACACGATCTGTACACAGATGGCCATTGGGTCCTGGGTAGGAGGGGCAGTAACTTCCCTGATTCATACAGTCTATGCTATGCACTTCCCCATCTGTCATCCCCGAGAGATTCCTCATTTTCTGTGTGAGGTCATGGCCCTCCTGAAGCTCACTTGTGAAGACATTTCAGCCTATGTAAAGTCAGTGGTAGTCTCAAGCTTTCTGGTGGTCCTCATTCCCCTGAGTCTCATCCTGATCTCCTATACTCTCATCTTCCTTACTATCCTCCACATGAACTCCCCAGAGGGCAGAAACAAAGCTCTGGCCACCTGTTTCTCCCACCTCTGTGTGGTAAGCCTCTACTTTGGCCCTGCCATATTGGTCTACATGAGGCCTGACTCCTCTAAGACCCCCAAATTAAACCAGTCTCTCTTTATGTTCAATGCCATCTTTACTCCTATGCTTAACCCTCTCATCTATAGCCTGAGAAACAAGGATGTCATAGTAGCTATGAAGAGTATTATCATACGTAGATGTCCTCTGGGAAGGATGAAAGCCTGTACTCATTTATAATCTCATGTTGATATGTTACTTTCCATTGTTTTCAGGAGCCTTTAGGACTTTACAAATTCTAGCATGAGAATTACAGAAACATTAGTCATTTGTTTCAACACCTTTATTTTGTAGAAGTAAATATAAATCAAAAATAAAATAACTTACCTGTAATCTCAAGCCACCATAACAAGAACCAGTTCTTCCAATTCAAAATTCTGAAAGCACACAACTCCTCTCTAAGTAACACAGTGTCATTTTGGCCCACACATGACCAATTTGCAAATGTACTCATGTACCTAAACACATCTGTGAAAAGCAAGGTGTGACTTGCTCCTCAGAACAGTGGGAGAACTCACAAAACTCCAGACTGAGCTCAGAAAGCAGGACTGTTATGACCAGGATTTTCAATTGATATGACATTAAAATAGTCTTATCTACTTTGAATAACCTAAGGCAATTTTAACCAATCTGCATGCCTGCAACCATAGTCAGTGTTACATTTCATGAGAAGCAAAGGATAAAACTGACTCCTTTCTCTTGGCTCCATACTTTTCCTTTTTCTCTGTACTCCTTCTGAATTCATATCCATCGTACAAAGCAAACAGCGTCCTAAATAAGATTACAAGATCTCTTCTTGAGGAGACAGTTCCAAGATGGCAGACTAAGCAAATACACTTTACAGATCCTCCACAACAGAAGAAGATCAATGAACCCCAGATAAGATAGAGCCTAAAAGAAAATCACCAAGACATATCATAATCAAACTTTCCAAAACCATAGGCAAAGAAAGAATCCTGAAAACTTGGGAAAAACAAAAATTCACCCACAAAGAAGAACCAGTAAGACTAAACTCTGATTTCTCAACAGAAACCATCCAAGCAAAAAAGTCCATCAATGACAATGGCAGACAACACAACTGGAGATTAAGACACACAACATCACTTGGAAATCAATGCCTATATAGAAGTAGCAAAAATAAAACAAACCTACAAGACTAAAAATAGAGAACCAGAGATATCAATTTATAAGCAATGATAACTATAAAGCAAAAAGAAGGAATGAATGATGTATTTACAGAACAGTCAAATGGAGAGGAAGTCAGACACTATAAAGATGGAAACAACTGCTTGAAACTTGGGGAGACAGTAATAAAATTAATAAACCTTTTCACCAAAATGAAAAAGGAGAAAATCAGAAAAATCTCAGTGAACACTAAAACAATAGCTACAAAGGAAATGATGACTGGAATCTTAAAAGCTTGCAAACAGCCATCTACATGCAACAATGGGTCTCTCCTCATCCAGAGCAAAGAAGAGCTAAGAAAACCAAAGAGGCATGGAAACTATTATTCCTAGCAACTTATACACCATGCAATCCTCAGCCTATATCACCATGAGACCAGAAGAACTAGATGGTGCTTGGTTACCACTGTCAAACACTTGGAGGGGGATCTTGAAGGAGATCCTGAATAGAGTGGGAGAACAATGTGGAACGAAATTCAAAATCATAAAAAAAGGAGGGGGTGATTTGCTGGTCTGATTGAGCCTGGTGAAACCCTTGAGACCATGGCCCCTAGCTGCCCTTCAGGTCTGCAATTGAACCGACTCCTATGGTTTCCAGCCAAACAAAAGACAGGCATATGAGGTGAACATTTACATTAGGTAGATACATTCTTTGCAGACATCAGTCATGGGAGAACAGAAGGGCTGTGTATGCACAAGGAGACAGCTCAGGGGGCAGGAGTGCATGGGAGGGAAGGACACAGGGAAGAAGTAACTATGGGGAGGAAATGGGAAGAGAGTTGTTGCATTGTAGAAAATTACAGTCAGTGTCATGAAACAAAGTGTATGTAAACTGCTGTATGGAAAATGAATTTGCTCTGTAAACTTTCACCCAAATCACAATTTAAAAAATAATAATAATAAAATAGCTTCAAAGAAAATACATAAACAAAATGAGCTCAACACATAAAAATACATAGAATCAAAAAATGATCAATGCCACACAGACACACACACACACATACACACACCCCTGAAGGAAAATGGAGCCACCTGTCCACCATATGTGGTGACTCTACTGGTATTTGAAATACTGGTGGCATAGTCTCCAGCTTCATAGCAACATGCAAGGCACCACAGTATGACAAACTGACAGATGAGTGGTGGAAACAACAGTCAGAAAATTAGATGTCATATTGAACTGGTCAAATGTGCTGCAAAAGACTTCTTTAAAGTGTTGAAGAGCCAAGATGTCACTTTGAAGACAAAGGTGCACTCAACCCTAGCCTTGGTATTTCCAATCACCTTGTACGCATGTGAAAGCTGGACAATGCACAAGTAAGACCAAAGAAAAGTTGATGCCTTTGAATTATGGTGTTGGCAAAGAATACTGAAAATAGCATGGACTGCCAGAAGAATGAAAAAATCTGTCCTGGAAGAAGTGCAGCCAGAATGCTCCTTGGCAGCAAGAATGGCCAGACTTCATTTCAGCTACTTTGGTCATGTTGTGAGAAAGGACAATTCCCTGGAGAAGAATATCATACTTGCTAAAGTAAAAAGTCAACAAAAAATAGGAAGAACCTCAACTACATAGATTGACACAGTGGCTGCAATGATGGGCTCAAATACAACAAGGATTGTGAGGATAGCACATGGCAGAGTATGGTTCATTCTGTTTTAGAGAGGGTCACTATGAGTTGGAGTGACTCAATGACACCTAACAACAACAACATGAAGAACTGTACTGCAACAAATTTGAAAACTTAGAAGAAATGGACAAATTACTACAAACGCACAACCTACCCAAACAATCTGAGGTAGAAATTTTGAACAAACCCATCACAAAAGAAGAAATTGAACAGGTTATTAAACAAACTCCCCCCAAAAAATGAAGTTCTGATCCAGACAGCATCAATGGTGAATTCCACAAAGCATTCAGAAAAGAGCTGACACCAACGCTACTCAAACTATTCCAGAACATAGAAAATGATAGAATACGTTCATACTCATTTTATGAAGTAAGGATAACCCTGACACCAAAGACATCACCAGAAAAGAAAAGTATAGACTAATATTCTTCATGAACATGAATGCAAAAATTCTCAAGGTGGTGTCTCTACACAAGTAGATTGTCCAATGTTCCTTCCAAGGAGTAGTTGGTGTCTTTGAACCACCAGCATTCTTGTTAGCAGTCAAATGTCTTAGGCCATATGACACCAGAGCTCCTGTAATATCCCTCATGAACATGAAAGCAAAAATTCTCAACATAATACTAGCCAATAGAATTCAACAACATATCAAAAACAATAATGCATTGTGACCAGTGGGATTCATACTGGATTGCAATTACAATTCAACATTAGAAAAATAATCAACATAGTGCACATATAAATAAAACAAATGAAAAGAAACACATGATCATATAAAATTGATGCAGAAAAGACATTTGACAAAACTCAACACCAATTCTTTTTTTTTTTTAAGGCTTTGGGTTTTATTTTAATTACCATTTTGGTCAATTCTTTGGTGTGTGTCGGGGGGACTGGAGTTTAAGAACAGAGACCTGGGTTCCAATCATGTTTCTGCTGCTTGCAGATCTTAAGCAAATTGTCCATCTCCATTTCTTCATCTATAAAATGGAGAAGAATAGATCTTAGAGGAGCAGTGAGGGCAGTACATAAGCACTTTCTTCTGGAGTTAAATGGACCTAGCTTCAAATCCTGATTTGTTCAATCTTTCCCGATTTGAGCTTAATTTGTCGAAGATCTTTCATATTTTAAACTAAGCATAATATTATCACCCTGATATCTCTTGTTATTGTGAGGAAAATACAGAGATAAAGTCTGCATATTTCTTTGTCTAATGCCTGGCATATAGAAAATACTCAATAAACATTGGCTGTTTCACAATAACTCATGGTAGTGTATGGTGAGGCAGTCAAGAGGCAGTTGTTTGAACAGACTAAGGTGATACTACATGGTTTAAAATCAGGAAAGGTGTGCATCAGGGTTGTATCCTTTCACCATACTTATTCAATCTGTATGCTGAGCAAATAATCTGAGGAGCTTGTCTTGTTCTCTAGGGCTACTATAACAGATACCAGAAGTGGATGGCTTTAATAAACAAATTCATTTTCTTACAGTTTAGGAGGCTAGAAGTCCAAGTTCAGAGTGCCAGCTCTAGAGGAAGACTAGGCTACTCTGAATTCAGAGTGCCAGCTCCAGGGGCTGGATGGAGACCCTCAACCTTGGGCTTAAGCTCTCTTTTTCCTGGCTCTCTGAAGCAAGCTGGAGGCTTCTTCATGCAGTTCCTGACTGCTGAGGGTGATGAATCCAAGATTTGGAGGTAAAATGGCAGATTTCTGGCTCACCGGCTGTACAGGCAACAATCTCAAGATTAGCAGACAACATGGCAGGCCATTGGTTCAAGTCCAGGAACAATCCTAAGATCAACAGGCAACACGGCAAACCACTGGTTCAAGTCTAGGACCTAAAGATGATGAATAGTGAGCCAAGTACAGAATCCTTTCCATATATACTAGAAGCAGGCTGCACCCTGAAGGTACCTCCCCTTCAACTGATTAACTGCTCACAGCAGATTCTACCATGGAAATGATTACACTACATCCAATCTCATCATGAGGAATAACTACACCCAGCTGCCAAGCCACTCACACTCATGGCCTATGCAACTTGACACACAACCTTAACTACCACAGAGCTGGACTATATGAAGAAGAATGTGGCGTAAAGGTTGGAGGTAGATTCGTTAACAACTTGCAATATGCAGGTGACAACTTTACTTGCTAAAAGTGGAAAGGATTTGAAGCACTTTCTGAAGATCAAAGACTTCATTATGGATTACACCTCAACATAAAACAAAAATCCTCATAACTGAACCAATGAGCAACATCATGATAAATGGTGAAAATATTGAAATTGTCAAGGATTTCATTTGACTTGGATCCACAATCAATGCCTTTGGAAGCAGTCAAGAAATCAAATACTGTATTGCATT